TGTGTGCTGCAGATGCTGCCTTTATTCTGGATAATAAACATGCCGATTAGCATCCGCTAGACCCAGCACCTTGGCATTGCAGTCTTTTAATTTTGTACTGTTACCAGATATGTGGATTTAATATTTAATATGTGGTTTATGCTTATGGTTAGATACAATCAAATGATTTAAGATTGTTTTATTCTTGCTCTGAACTGGGAGACATGCAGTGCAATGGGGATTTTTTTAGTAGTACTCTGTCTGCTTGATCAGGAAGCCGAACAGTGACAATGTTTACATATTCATATCACGTCCTTTGAGTGCTTGTCATCTCTCAAATTTGTAATTCCTTTTGTCTTTGAAGATAATAGGCCATAAATTGTCCTTGTTTGTGAGCCAACTCCCTGAAAGCTCAGTGTTTATGAGTTTTAACACGGGTTGTCTAATGGGCCAGCACCAGTGCTGTCTCTCAAAGCGTCCTGTAAAGGTGAACGTCGTGTCACCCTGTTGTTCAGTGGCTTGAAGATTAATAACGCTTCTGCTAATTAATATCTCCTCTCAATTTCTTTATCTCCCAGTGGCTTTTCTTGCACTCATGTTGTTTAGCTGCATAAAAGTCATACAGCACAGTGAAGTGTTTTTTATCTTGGACTTCATAAATAATAGGAAATGATTTCATATGTAGCTTCAATATTGCCTTTTAAATCAATGTTTCATTTTCTTGTGTTTCAAATGCAGCATAATCACCTGAGAAATATAATATGAAATGCAACACTGCCCTTTATTGCTCTGGGCGATGACACAAGCTATAGATTGAAAACCTTGATGGAAATAGGGACAGGGAACAGACAATATTCGGGTATTGTTAGCATAGCATTAACAGACAATGACTTGTAGCACTGGGGGAGTTGAGTCATCTCCATATTAATAGTCAACTTGCACAGGGAATACAGATAAGATTTTTTTCTACATTGCAGGGAGACCCGTCAGAAGCCCTCTACAGTGTGAAGGTGAAAGGTTTTAGGGAGTTTTGGACCAGAGGACATCTTCAGAAAGTGTAACACTAGGGAGGTTCATAATGTAGAGGAATTGTGGGCTGAGCTTCAGTTTTAAGTGATTGGCAGACTGTGGCTGTTCTGGGCAAAGCGACAGTAAAGTTATGCAGCCTCGCTGGCTTGCACGGACTGGATGATAGGTTATGTCTTTTACAACCGGAGGCCTGAAGCTGCCGCGGCGAGACAGGAACTGTGGTAATAAGGGGGCAGAGGCTCCAGAGATGATGAGGACCCCATGTCAGCCGAATGAGGGGAATTCCAAAACACCACTAATCTTTTTCCCATCTTTCAGTGCTTGACTGTTTACTGTAAGTCGCTCGTTTTAGAATATGGATAACCTCTCCCAAGGACACAGCGTATTAATGGCAGCTGTGATTGCACTCCTGGAAGATTTCAATGTCAGATGACCTGTTGTAGTTAATTCAGGCAGTGCTGTGCTGTGCTGTGTCAGTCACTCTGTCCAGCAGGCATCTTTTTTCCCCTTAAAAGCACAACAAGGTTGTGATTGCTCCAGAGACTGGTGCAGTGTGCTGACAGCCCCTTTGCTGCTTGAATAATACAGTCCAGTTATGAGAGGTGAGACGAGGTGCCAAAGTCCAATTCACTTACGGGACAGCGCAAAAGCTTCTGGTTTACGGAAAAGGGGCATGAATTAATAATCACCTAATTGACTCTTAGGTTTCTCCACTCCTGCCTTGCCTTTTGTGCTTTCAAACAAAAACCCACCCTGTGTATCTGTCAGAAGAGGTTTGTTGTGGATGGGGGATTTGTGTCTAATGACCAGGCAGAAGAGGTCAGCGTAGCAGACAGACTCCTGACAGACATTAAGGTCACCATCGGCGGGGGAGCCGATAGTGGTCTCTGTAGAGGACTATTTGTGAATGGGAGAAGCATTAATCTAACCATCCACCAAGGTCAAATACAGATATACACATGTACTGTTGTTCTAGGTCTTTCTAAAGCAGTGTCCTTTTGTTTTTCTCTATTGACATCATTTTTGTCCTCTAAAAGTCCTATACTTGCTCAATCAGGACCCAATGTTATGGGTTCAGATTGTAGATCCTAATGTCTGAACGCAGCAATGCTCGGACACTAGTTTCCAATCTGCCGTGTAAGACGGTGTAGGGAGAAAAAAACGATATTTCATTTCCCAACTTGGCAATGTTTTGGTCATTTCTTTCATCACCCTTGACACGGAAAAACAGGATACAGTAGTTGGATGTTAGTCATGGTGCTGGTGATGGTGTAGTGTTCTTAAGAGAAGCAATTGATCAGATTTATGGAGTCCTAATTGGCCATGACGAGAAAGACTGTGTCTGAGTAAGCCTCCCAGCCTTCCATCTGTCCCTCTCTCTCTGTGTTTCTCTCACACACACGCACACATGAAACACTGTGAGCTAGAGAGCCAGTATGGGCCCCTTTCAGATTCAAACAGCCACTTGTTTCACCTCTCTGGTGCTTTTGGAGCAATTGTAGAAATGGAATATACTTTATAATCAATTATATGTATCCTCTTTATCATGAGGTTTAGAGGATACTTGTTTGTAATCCATGTTTGCTTCCTGTATTGTATGTACTTTATATCAGCGGTATAAACCCTATTGTTACCTGCTCTAGAATTCATTTCTTTACTTTGTCTTTCTGTTATGAAACTTAAGTAATTCACAGTGAATGGCAATTATACATATTTAAGCTGTAGCAGCTGCTCTGCTTGTTTCTTTCCGTCTGTGTGGAATTTACACTAAAAGGCAGGTGCTTAAAAGTGTTGCAATCTGATATTAATAGTTTTAACAGATGTCGTTTGGTTGAGGCTACTGTTTGGGTCCTTTGTATTGAAGAACATAATTTCCTTCACTGCCTTGAAAAGTAAAGATGCAGAGGTCATTATTTTCTAACTAACTCAATAGGCTAGAAAAAGAGAGAATTTATTTTGTTCTCGTTATTAAATGTTATTATGATCCCCAAACTTGAGTAGTCCAAAGATCAACCAGATAGTTGAGATGTGAAAGTGACCACAGATGTCCCTTGTTGTTTTCCTCGGGAGATGAGTTCAGTTGCAGTAGGAGTGAACTGAAGTGGAGTTGGTGAGGACATCGCCATGACTGAGAGGTTAATGTCAGGGAATGGGAGGTTCCTTTTGTTTAACTTTCCCTTTGTTTATTGGCGGATGTGTTTAATAGGATTGCCTGTGACTGGACCCTAATAGGGCCTCCTCGGCTGATCCCAGTGTCTCTGGGAGATCTTGCAGGCTGCTCTGTCCAAAGCTAGGTCCCCCACTGGGTAATCAGCTCAACTGCCCTCGTCCTGATTGGAGCTGACATTTTAATGTCTTGAGCAGGAGCGTGGTCAGCCCTGCTTAACCTGACCCCCCGCCAAATCACCCTCCCCTTCCAATGCCCTCTGTTCCCAATTTGCCCTCCTAGGACTGTACAAATCAGGCCACATTTAACTCTTTATGGGCTTGTTAGGGTTTGGTAAGACATGTCCTTAAGTTTCACAGTGAATTCTTTCCACTAGTGACAAAGCTTGATGATACTACAGCTCCCCCATGCTGGCTCCAGGTGAATGTAGCTCCTCTGTGAGCCCTTAATGCTTAGCAGAGTGCTCAACTCTGATGAATTTCTGTTTTTATAAAGTGGAGTCATTTTAAAGTGGTTTGCAGGGGCTCTTGAGTGATGCATTGCTCTTCAGACATGCTTCTTTGTTAATATTGGTGTTGTTTTCATTAAAAGGATTAGCTGTGTGATTCAGTTTTTGAGCTAGTGAAACGCTTGAGGTAGCTGTATAGGTGACGATAATAGATATATTTTCAAAGATTGGCTGGAAACTGACAATGAATGTAGCCCTTTTTTATATTTCCACAGACTGGGCACCGAAGCATGGCTGTATCCTGTGAATATGCTTGTGTATGACTAATCATCCGACTGATGCTTCCTTTGAGCCCAATGGCATGTTTTTGTCTTGAAATATTTGACTTAAATGAGAGCTTGTTGTCATATGTGACCATGTGACCTAGCTTTGAGGAAACATTAAAAAAGATTCAGGGGGAAAGAGGTTTTCTAATCTTGCTGTGCTCTTTTTGTCTTTGTCACAGTCCATTCCCATATAAACTACAAAACAATAGATAAGGCTTACCTTTTACAGAAATGCCATTGAAACTGAGAATTTTGCTGGCATTTCCCTGCTTTTGGAAACATAGAGCTGAGGAATTTTCAAAGCTGAGACCAACTGTATATAAATAAAAACATGTATTTCTTGATTCTTAAAGAATCTTTTAAAATTAACCAACATTTAGGATTGGTAGAACTGTCCCTCAAAAATTCAAATTCTCCCATCTGCTTGACCTCTGCTTTTTGCCTTTAAGGTGGTTGAAGATATTTGTATAGAAGTCTTCTTACGTGCAGAATGCTCCTATTACAATATGAGGATCACTTAATGGGTAAAGTAAATCTATAGCTTAGGAAAACCCTACATCAGCGGACATTTGAGCATCAGATATATTTGAAACAAGAATAAATATAAACAGTTTAACAGTTGTATGATGAGGTTTCAAGATGTGTGTGAACCTCCTCTCATGTTTATAAACTCACATAGACTAAAGATATGGAATGAAATCCAAAAATTGCACACTTGCAAATTTATATCTTTCATTCGCACTTGAAAACAGTGTTGTACGATATCCTAAGAACCAACAATGAAATAGACAGCTCACCTGCAGCAGCATGGAAAGACAAGTAAAAAATGTGTGGTCTTTTTTATGGGGAGACATGAGTTTGATAACAACACATTCTCTGCCCAATTCCCATTAAATGCAGTTTTATCACATTTAAGAAAGACATTCCAAAGCCCTTTATCCACAGTGTTATTGATTGACGTGCTCCCAGGCTGCCAAGTCCTCACCTTGTCTTGACATGTCTGCTCTCTTCTCTTTATCCCCTGTTTGTGTGCGTCTGTTTGAATGTGCAGCAGTGTCTGGCCACTCGGAACGGCACCAGTCAGATTCCCCGATCCCCTCCAAAAGGCCCTCTTCTCGGTCGGAGACCTCGGAGAGCCCTCTCTCCTCAAAGCGTCCCAGGACAGCTGAGAAGAGCGCTGCGGAGCAGGTGAGAGTTACAAACCACACCATTTTTTTAAAACATTGATGTCTTCAGATGTTAAAAAATGCATAAAACCCTCTGTTTTTAAAAGTCTTTGAATTAGGGGACTCTTGCTAAAGGTTATTCCATCCTCAAATACCAATCCCTCATTATAAGCTTGAAAACTCCACATCAATTAAAAGAAGTAATGTAAAAATATACTTCTAATAATATTTAGTTAGTTATCTCACTGACCCTTTTTATATTAGGCAGGATTTCCCCCAGATCTACTCAAAATTATTTTAGCCTTTCTGCTGCAGTTGCACTGCTAATTGTGTATAAGGTGGAAAATCAATATAGTATTTGACAGATGGGAGCACTTTGAAGTAGGTGCCAAGACTCAGTGGTGCTCAGTATTACACGGTTGTTGTGATCAGAGGGATCTGCCTGCTTGAGGGAAGGGGCCCCAGTCTCCCGCCTGATCTACAGCTCCTCTTCAAGCAGGCCCACTGTGATCACTGCACCTATTTCACCCCATTAACCCTTTGTGGATCTGTTTCCCCTCTCCCCTCTCTCTCTGCCACCCAGATGTACCAGTGCCCCTACTGCAAGTTCACCAACACGGACTTGAATCGTCTCAGAATGCACGTGATGACGCAGCACTCTGTCCAGCCAATGTTACGTTGCCCACTATGCCAGGACATGCTCAACAACAAGGTCCACCTGCAGTTCCACCTGACACACCTCCACAGTGTGGCCCCTGACTGTGTGGAGAAGCTTGTTGCCTCAGTAAGTCCCTAATGTTTTTTTTGCCTGTGATTGGATACTGTGTGGTTGGAAAGGTTTAAGTTTTAACTTCATTGTTATGGTTCTTCATTCATTTATTAGAATGATTTGCTTTACCAATTCAAGGTTACCTGAAGTGTTGGTAATTGGTATGAATGAAATTGTCATGGCAAGTGTGGTCATCCAGCACCATAGCAAAGAGATTGCATATTATGAAATGCGTATTTTGTATAAGTCAAGGACAAAAGGAGAAAAGCAAAACATAGATAAACAAATATATGGCCTTGCTGTATTGTGCATAGCACGAATCAACATTTTGAATTCCATTTCTGTATTCAATCTGTCCCATAGTGTTTCTTTAATTATCTACATAGCCGTTTATAGAAAACAACTGCCGGTCAAAGCCATGTTGTATAGGCCCAACATGCTGCTACTTAAACACAATATGGCCCATCACATTGCAGACAATGGGTCAGGTCAAGGACCAGCGTAAGGCTTCAACAATACCAAGAAGATGAGTCACTAGCTCTTAATCAATCCCTCAGCCTGGAGTGGCTGCCTAGTTCTCAGAACAATTGTCATTCCTTTCTTCCCCCCTCTAAATTGCCAACATTCAGTCTTTTATCAAACACAAAGAATGCTAGTAATTGTGAAATGGCTACAGGCAATCCCATTGGCTCATTGGAAATGATTGGGCTTTTTTGGGATGCATATTTTTTCTTTTCTTTTTCATTGTCTTAATGTGCCCATCATCATTTGCCAGCTCTTTTGTAATCACAGTCATTTGTGAAGAGGAATTCTTAATCGTTTTTTGTATTTTTTTATAATTTCAAGATGAGCAGGTCTCTTCGCTCCCAGTTCATTTATACTAAACTGACACTCTTGCCATGTCTTTGATCACTTGTGTGCAAGTCAAAACAAGGCTTTTCATGATGAATATGTTAAAATAATTGTGGCAAGGATTAATCAAAATGTAATGAACAGTCTCCCCACTATATGCAACTTGAGTACAAGCATTGGAAATATTATTATTTACGAAGAATCAAGCCAAAATCAAGTCTCATATCAAAATGTGTGTATTTCAGGTCCATTCCTTAGGTTGGAAATTGGTAGTTAAAATTAAACCTCAAAATTGGTAGTGTCTGTATCTTGATTAATGTGGTCTTGGACTTTTAAGTCCTGAAATTAGATATATATTATCTACAATGCACTGGGAACAGTGTGTCTACTTTCTTTGCATCCTTTAATCATAATCAAGGGAAAATAAAATGTGTAATATCAATACAAAGAAAATCCTTTTTATTTCCTATTTTCTTGTAAATCACTTAGCAAATATTGACTCTGTTCTGTCCTGTTAAGCTAAATAGCAATGCAGGACAATCAGTGAGTGAAACATTACTGTCTGCTGCCTTCACCCCCCATATAGAAAGTAAATGGCAAGCACATTAGTATGGTAGATGGCAATATTTATTTATTTTATAGTGGTAGTAATGTACTGAGCCACTACAAGAGGACAATGATAGAACAGAGGTAATATAACACACATTAAAGCTAGCACCCTTTTATAACTGGTGAATGCAGATGTTAAGGTGCTTTATCCTATTCACATGTCTAAGGAGAGGAGTCAATTAATTCTGAAATAGGTGACTTTTATTTCTTGCCAAGCATGCATAATGATGCGTTCATTCTCCAACCCTTCAGCCACCTATCGTCTTTGCACTCCCTCCTTTCCTTTCCACCCCATGTGTCTCATGCTCTGTCTCAGATACAGTAACAGTGTATATATAATATATACACACTCCCCCAGTCCTCCCTCTCTCACTCTATGTCTCATTTTCTGTCTGTGCAAGATAGGGGTAATGAAAATAATTGTGCTTCATTAATTCTGGCTGGATGATGGCCATTTTGAACTATGTTTGCCAATTAGGCGGTCCAAATTAAAATTGACCTTGGGATACTCTACTTCTTCCACTAATCGCCTAATGAAGCAGTTGTCTAGAAACAGTCCACTTTGTAATGTAAATCATTGCTTTTTTTGTTTTGTGACTTTCAATGCTGGTTGCTTTAATTTTCCACTTTTCATTTTGAAGAGATAGAAAGGTATCAAAAACAAAGAGGGAAATGGCTGGATGTTTTCTGGTACATTTGTGACCTCAGTAACAAAATATAGTGGGCACTTTGGGATGGAAACTGTTTTACTTAACCATAGAAATCCTGTTGTTTGCGGATGAATCTGCTTCATTTGGATTTTGCCTGTGGCTATATGACATGCTAGAGTACATTCAGCTGTGTGTTCACTGTGCTATTAGAGGAGTAATTAGAAAGCATATGGCAAATTAACAAAAATAAACTATACCAATCTAAAAACTGAACTCTTTAACATTTAAATACTTGTTTCACCAGTATGCGTTCTTTCATTTGTTACTCCTTTGTCTCAGCAATTTGATGGAGGTGGAAAAAGACAGTCCTCATATTCTGACCTCATCCACTTTCAGCAGATTATTATTGTTGCATAGGGTACTGTCAATTATTGACTTTGATGAATTCTCAAGTTTTGGGGATGAAAAAAGGTTATCAGAGGGAGAAATAGGTAGACATTTGGAGGAGAGCAGCAGAAATAAACAGAGGTTGCTGTCGTTCACACATGATTGACTCCAACCTTTTGAGAGCGGAGAGAACCAGACTTCCTCTCTGTACTTTTTTAATCAATACCTATTCGTCCTTGAAATATTTGATTTAGAAAAGTAAAGAGAAAAAAACTTTTTCCAAGTACATGTGTACCTTGTTATCAGCAATGACATTGTTTTCCTTTGATTTAACCAATTTGTTAAGAAGCACAGTGTCTAATTTAGAAATTATTTTTATAATATTTGTTTTATTATATTTGTTGGCACTTACAGCTGCACTTCTTAAGTAGAAGCTTCAGCTAAAGTGTTTGGGGGATAGATGCAGTTAGTGCATTGGTGTGAGCTTTAAGCTGGCTGACACTGTATGACATGAGGTCCATTATCCTAATTGGCAGCAGCAGAATTTAAGTAGTCGAATGCCAAGCCACAGCCAACTTTACAATATGTAAAAGAATATAGCATTTTTCTAAATATTATGATGTTTTTAATGTGTGTATGCATCAGTACATGTCTGCTCTACAGTATGAGTGATTCATTGGTAAATAAGATACACATGAGCAAGGATATCAGCTTCATATCTTGATTTTATATTGAATGTCAATGATCCTCAGTGCAATGTAAAATGTTACTATATACACTTTTATTCCATCTAACCCGGCTTTTTAAACTGCTTTGTGTTTCCTCTTGTGTGTTTGTTGATTTCCTTTAGTCATTTAAACTTACATATTAAATCATATCATCACCCCGCAAGAACTTTCACATTATAATTCCTTTCTGTTTTGTTTTTCCAGGTATCAGCATCTGAAGTACTGCCAGCCAGCATGTTCATACCGGTACCGAGTCCAGACAGAGAGTCCCAAAGCACCCCTCATGCCACAGCCAACTCTAACTCTGAAGATATAAAGAAGCCTGCTGGTTAGTATCTGACTCTGTTAGAAATGTGCAAGTTACTGCTACATTTATGTGGGATTTATGTTTTTTCAAAAAATACTAATAATCATAATTCAGGTTTTTTTTGTGTAATTTGGTGATATTTACTTTGCAATTGCAGTCGTCTAACGGAAAGCTCTCTTTTTTATTATGTATTTATTCACAGATGCATCAGATGCTGATCCAGAGAAGGGAATGTCACTCCCTACAGAAACAGCTGAATCTCAAAAGTCACCGCTGGAAGATCAACAGTCAGAGAGGGATGATGCCACAGGATTTCTGTGCTGGAAGAAAGGCTGTAATCAAGTGTTTAAGTCCTCCAACTCCCTCCAGATGCACTTCAATGAGGTTCACAACAAAAGGCCCCAGTTGCCTGTTTCAGATCGCCATGTCTACAAGTACCGCTGTAACCAATGCAGCCTGGCCTTCAAGACTGTGGAGAAACTACAGCTCCATTCACAGTACCATGTGATCAGGGCAGCCACCATGTGCTGTCTCTGCCAGCGAAGCTTCAGAACACTTCAGGCCTTGAAGAAACATCTAGAAACTAGCCACCTGGAGCTGACTGAAGCTGATATCCAGCAGCTTTATGGGGGCTTATTGATGAATGGTGACATTATGGTAATGGGTGACCCATCCCTTGGTGAGGAGCATGGAAGTCTTGGAGAAGATGAGAAAGAGGGAGATGAAAGTGACCAAGAAGATAAACAAAGCCCAACAGGCAGTGACTCTGGTTCACTGCAGGAAGATTCTGGATCTGAACCTAAACGTGCTTTGCCATTCAGAAAGGGCCCCAACTTCACCATGGAGAAGTTTTTGGATCCATCTCGTCCTTTCAAGTGCACTGTATGCAAAGAGTCTTTTACACAGAAGAACATTCTTTTAGTTCACTATAACTCTGTCTCCCACCTGCACAAGGTGAAACGGGCTCTTCAGGAGTCCACTACTGGACAGCCGGAGCCCACCAGCAGCCCTGACAACAAGCCATTCAAGTGCAGCACCTGTAATGTGGCATATAGCCAGAGTTCTACTCTGGAGATCCACATGCGCTCTGTTCTACACCAGACCAAAGCTAGGGCAGCCAAACTTGAAGCAGCAGGGGGGATTCCTAGCTCTGCAAGTGCTACTTGTTTAAGCGGCGGTGGGTCCAGCATCAGCACTTCAACATCTAGTCCAAGCCCAGCTAGTAACTCAACTACTAGCTCTACCAACCACAATTATTCTGGGTCTCAAACAGCTCAGAGTATTCTTGGAGGAAACAATATGATCCAGGGTCATATCAATGAGAGCATGGGGAATTCTTCATTGAGCTGCCATTCCTTACCATCGGAGAACCATGAAGTAAAAAAGTCAAGTCAAAAGTGTTCTGACATGCTGTCTGCTAGGGGGCAACAACAGCATCAGCAGCAGCAGCAACAGCAGCAGCAGCAACATCAGCAGCAGCAACAGCAGCAGCAACAGCAGCAGCAACAGCAGCAGCAGCAGCAACACCACCAACAACAACAACAACAACAGCAACAGCTTCAGCAACAACAGCAATTGGCTCAGGCTCAAGCCCAAGCTCAAGCCCAGCTTCAACAAGAGCTCCAGCAGCAGGCTGCTCTTTTACAGTCACAGCTATTCAACCCAGCACTTCTGCAGCACTTCCCAATGACAGCTGATGCACTTCCCCTCCTGCAACAGCAGCAGTTGCTATTCCCTTTCTACATCCCTGGCGCAGAATTTCAGCTGAACCCAGAGATCAACCTCAGTAACGCAGCGCTTGGTCTAGCAGGTTCCTCCACCTCCTCCTTGCTTGAAGATCTAAAAAACTCTGCCCAGCAGGCCCAGCAAAGTTGCTTGCAGCAGCAATTGATGCACCACCACATGCAGCAGCAACATCAACAACATCAGCAGCAGCAACAACAACAGCAGCAGGCTCAGGGGCAGATGGCTTTGTTGCAACAGAGTGCAGCTCTGCTCCAGCAGGCTGAAAAAAAGCAGAGACTTTCCAACTTACAGAATGAGAGAGACAGAGAAAGAGAAAGGGCCATAAATGAAAAAAATGAAGAATATGCTAACAGAGATTCTACAGACAGTAAGTCAAGAGAAAAGAAAGACATGCAGCATATTGCTATAAACATAAACCATGATACTGGCTTGCCTCCACCAAGGATTGCTTCAGATGCTCGAGGAAATGCTACCAAAGCTCTGCTGGAAAACTTTGGTTTTGAGTTAGTTATTCAGTACAATGAAAATAAACAGAAAGTTCAGAAAAAGACAGCTGTACCTGCAGGATCAAGTGGTCCAGGTGGGATAACAAGAGTGGTGGACCCCATTGAGGGATTGGAGAAACTGGAATGTGAAGCCTGTGGCAAGCTGTTTTCAAACATACTGATTCTAAAGAGTCACCAGGAGCATATCCACCAGGCTTTCTTTCCATTTCGATCCCTTGAGAGATTTGCAAAGGAATACAGAGAACAATATGATAAACTCTATCCACTGAGACCCCCTACACCAGAGGCTGCTCCTGCTCCTCCGCAGCCTCCTCCTCCACCTCCTCCACCCCAAAGAGCTCCAACACCAAATATTCCTGTCTCTGCTGCCTCACATACACCTCCAACTGTATGTACCCCACAGCCGCAAGGTCAAATGGCACAAATTCCCATGCCAATGGATTTGCCCCTCTTCTCACCTCTTATGATGCAGTCCATGTCTCTCCAGTCCATGCCACAGCTACAATCTGTTGAGTCAAGCCTGGCCTCAGAGCTGGCCATGCTCTATCAACAGCAGCTTACACCAGCCATGCTACAGCAGCAGCAGCAGAACAAGAGGCCGCGGACACGCATCACAGATGACCAACTTAGGGTCCTGCGACAATACTTTGATATCAACAATTCTCCAAACGAGGATCAGATTAAAGAGATGGCAGACAAGTCAGGGCTTCCACAAAAAGTCATAAAGCACTGGTTCAGAAACACCCTTTTTAAAGAACGACAGCGCAACAAAGACTCGCCATACAATTTCAATAATCCACCAACGACAACATTAGAAGAAACAAAAATTGACTCTAAACCTCCTTCCCCTGAACCTTTGAAACAAGAATTTTATGGAAGCAAGAGATCCTCCAGGACTAGGTTTACTGACTACCAGCTAAGAGTGCTACAAGACTTCTTTGATGCCAATGCGTATCCCAAAGATGATGAATTTGAACAACTCTCCAACCTTCTGGGTCTCCCCACTCGTGTGATTGTTGTGTGGTTCCAAAATGCTCGCCAGAAGGCAAGGAAAAATTATGAAAACCAGGGTGAGGGGGCAAAAGAGGGAGAAAGAAGAGAATTGTCCAATGATCGTTATGTACGCACGACAAATCTGAACTACCAGTGCAAGAAATGCAGTCTGGTTTTCCAGCGTATATTTGATCTAATAAAACACCAAAAGAAGCTGTGTTACAAAGATGAAGATGATGAGGGTCAATATGACAGCCACAATGAGGATTCAATGGATTATTCCAATGACTGTTATACTCCCTCTGGGTCCTCCTGTCACACCCCAATGCCCTCTTCTTCAAGTCTTTGCCCACTTCCACCCTCCACTTCAGCTTTTTCCCAGCTCCCATCCACTGAGAAAGAGGAGGCATTGCCAGCATCCACCTCTAACCTCATTGACGAGAAGCCCAAGGAGTTACCAGACATTTCTGCTGATATGGCACGGGAAACCCAAACTTCTATTAAGCAGGAGGTTGTGCATCAACCCCAGTCTGAGGCACAACACCATAGACCTCAGAGAGAAGAGAAGATGCAAACAAAGCCCATCAAGCATTCATCGTCCTCTTTCTCTCAGCAACAGCAGCAGTGTGGTCCCTCTGCCTCTCAGACAAGCCAGGCTTCATCACAAAGCCAGCACATGAGCCTCAATGCACATATGACCTCTGCCACACAACAATTGGCACAACAGATGATCCCGTACCAGTGTGATCAGTGCAAGATTGGCTTCCCCTCCTTTGAGCACTGGCAGGAGCACCAGCAATTACACTTCCTTTCTGTGCAAAATCAATTCATCCACCCTCAATTCCTAGACCGTCCAATAGATATGTCTTTCATGCTATTTGATCCCAGCAATCCTCTCCTGGCAAGTCAGCTACTCTCTGGAGCAATGCCACAGATTCCCAGCAGCTCTGCCACCTCTCCGTCCACCCCCACCTCCACCATGAATTCCCTGAAGAGGAAGTTGGAGGAAAAAGCTGGCACTAGCCCAGGAGAGAACGACAGCACAAATAGTGCAGAAGAACGACAGAGAGACAAGAGGCTCAGAACCACCATCACACCTGAGCAGCTAGAGATCCTTTATCAGAAGTACCTATTAGACTCAAATCCTACGCGTAAAATGCTTGACCACATTGCTCATGAGGTGGGATTGAAAAAGAGAGTAGTGCAAGTTTGGTTCCAAAATACCAGAGCTAGAGAGAGAAAAGGTCAGTTTAGGGCAGTAGGGCCAGCTCAAGCTCATCGTAGGTGCCCTTTTTGTCGAGCACTTTTTAAAGCAAAAACTGCCCTTGAGGCACACATTCGCTCTCGTCACTGGCATGAAGCCAAACGTGCTGGATATAATTTAGCTCTAGCTGGTATGTTACCTGATCATGAGGGTATGCAAATCAAAATAGATGGTCTAGATACTTCAAGCTACTCTCAAATGGCCCCAGCACACAGTGATGGACATAGCTCCTCTATGTCACCAGTAAACAAAATCATGGATTTGTCTCCTAGGGCTCTACTTAGCCCTTCATCTATTAAAGTTGAAGGAATGGAAGATTTTGAGACTGCAACCATGTCTTCTGTGAACCTCAGCTATGATCCAAACAAACTGGATAATGACGACTGCTCTTCTGTGAATACAGCTATCACTGACACAACCACAGGCGATGAGGCCAATGCTGATAATGACAGTGCTGAAAAGCACAGCATGCATAGTGGTGATTACCTGTCTAAGTCTGGTGGCACAGCCGCCATCCTTGAAACTGATGACCAGATGTCTTCAGGGCTAGTAAGCCCTGCAACAAGCTATTATACTAGGGAGTATGACGAACATATTATTGAACACAGTGAGACGTCCAGCCTGGCTGACCCCTGTTCACCAAGTCCTGGAGCCTCAGGGACCAGGAGCATCGACAGTGGAGATCGACCTGGCCAAAAGCGCTTCCGGACGCAAATGAATAACCTTCAGCTGAAATTGTTGAAATCCTGTTTTAACGACTACAGGACTCCAACTATGCTGGAATGTGAGGTACTTGGCAATGACATTGGACTTCCAAAGAGAGTTGTTCAGGTGTGGTTTCAAAACGCTCGTGCCAAGGAGAAAAAGGCAAAGCTCAACATGGCCAAGCACTTTGGAATTAATCAGACATCCTATGAGGGGCCGAGGACGGAGTGCACTTTGTGTGGTGTAAAGTACACTGCTCGCCTCTCTATCCGTGATCATATTTTCTCCCAGCAACACATCAATAAGGTGAAGGATACCATTGGCAGCCAAATCGATAAGGAAAAAGAATACTTTGACCCTGCCACCGTCCGCCAACTTATGGCCCAGCAAGAAATGGACCGCATTAAGAAGGCCAATGAAGTTTTAGGACTAGCGCAGCAGCAGGCCATGCAGCAGCATGGTTTGTTTGATAACCCTGCAATGCAGGCTCTGAATCTTCAGTCATCGTATCCAAATCTGCAAGGCATACCACCAGTCCTTTTGCCAGGGGTTGGCAGTCCCTCTCTTTCCAGCTTTAACTCATCTAATTCAGGTATGTCATGAGTTGGATTAAACGCAAAATATTTGAGGTGGAGTTGCAGTTGTTTTTTAAACTGTAATTTACCAACTTACAAACTAAAGTCATCACATATTGTACTTAAATGTAAAACTCAGTGATTGCACCAAAGACCACACTATCTATATTATTCCCATCAGTCTGTGACATGTACTCATTTATACTGCACACATACAGTACGGTAAATTGTGTAACATAATATAATGGCCTTTTAACTGTTAGACCCACCGATACCACAAACTGTGAACAAATGGCTCACTCAGACTGAGTTTTACTTTGTGAAGATTGCATAATCTTGATATCATTAGTTCTTCATTTAACTGTTGTGTTTACATTTGATAATGACACACTTATCAAGGAAATACACCTATTAATTATTACATGTTGTCTGTGTTTGAATATTTTCCAGCTTTAACTCCTCCAAAACCCTCAAACCTCCTGAACATGCCTGGTGCCAGTGTTCCCTCGCCTAGCCTCCCCACGTCTGGATTACCCAACAAGCTTCCTTCCTCATCGTCCCTTGCCGCATCGAGTCCAGCCCAGACCAACACATCTGCTTCCCACTCAAGCTCCACCGTCACATCCAACTCCACTTCCTCAACCACCCCGTCTGGCTCCCGGCCTGAACCCTCTAAAGAACGTGATGCTGAGGGGATAAGGGAGAAGGAGAAGTCCAAGGAAAAGACAGAGAAGTCCTCAACCCCATCGTCAACTGGAAGCACCCCTGTCCCTTCCACTTCTGCTGCCAGTGCCAAGAAGGAGAAACCAGATACAGCTGTACCTGCCATCTCCATGCCCACACCTGGTATGGAGTATGTGGTAGACCCTGCCCAGCTTCAGGCCCTGCAGGCTGCTTTGGCATCTGACCCCACAGCTCTCCTCACAAACCAATTCCTGCCCTACTTCATGCCTGGGTTCTCCCCGTATTACTCTCCACAGATCCCTGGGGCTCTCCAAGGGGGTTACCTGCAACCGATGTATGGTATGGAAAGTCTCTTCCCTTACAACCCAGCATTGTCACAAGCAATGATGGGCCTGTCTCCGGGGTCCCTGCTGCAGCATTACCAGCAATATCAGCAGAGCTTGCAGGACGCACTACAACAGCAGCAGAGGCAGCTTCAGCAGATCCAGCAACCCAAGGCTAGCCAAACTCCAGTCCCCCATCAACCCTTGGGGGATCGCAAAGAATCTGCCAAAGATCAAGTGAAAACCGAGGAGCAAAAGGGCAAACCCAATAGTGAACCCCCCAATTCGTCCTCCTCCTCTCATAAAAAAGTACCCTCTCAGCAGAAAGAGATGGATGGCAAAGCTTTGAACAAGTATATCATCCCTAAGGTGCAGTGTAAACTGGCATGCCGCAAATGTCAAGTAGTTTTCACAAAGGAAGATGAGGCTGTTACCCACGTTAAATCTAACTGTTTTTTCGGTCAGTCGGCAAACCTGCAAGAGATGTTGCAGCGTGTCCCTGGTGGCGTAGGTGCAGGGGCTGGAAGTCTCTATGACTGTCTGGCTTGTGACACTACGTTGGATGGGGAAAAAGCACTCAGTCAACACCTGGAATCGGCATTGCACAAACACAGAACAATCAAGCGATCAGCCAGAAATGCCAAAGAGCACGCTACTAGTTTATTACCTCACTCTTCAGCCTGCTTCCCCAATCCTAACACCGCATCTACCTCGCAGTCTGCCACTCATCCCATCAGCAGCCCCCCTCCCCCGCCAACAACATCAGCCACCATGCCATCCTCTGCTGTCTCCTCTTCCCTCTGCTCCTCCTCTACTACCCCACTCAACACCACAGCTGCCGGCAAACCATGGCCCCAGGCCCCTTTCTCCAGAGCTTTAGCTGGGAAGCCCAATGCCAGTCCCTCCTTTTCTTCCTCCTCTTTTCCTCCAATGTCCTCACCTTCAACGGTTACCTCAAGTTCATTGAGCACCTCAGGAGTTCAGACCTCGATACCAACAGACGTCTTTACCGACGAGTCTGACTCTGACAGTAGTCAGAAGTCAGCGGACAGGCTTGGCAGGACGGCGGAGGAGCCGCAGCAGCCTGGCTTTGTCAAAGACAGTAGTAGTTGTAGTAGTAATCTTGCTAGTGTAGGAACAGACTCCATCAGATTGTAAAGAGCTTTCAATGATGGACAATATTTAAAAAACACTTAAAAAGACAAAAAAAAATCACAAATGGAAAAAACACAAAAAGCAGCAATGTTAAAAATACATTAAACGTATACAAACCAATTTCAGAAAAAGATGTGTAAAGACTAACTGCAATTCCAAAGCTTGTAACCAAAAATTTAAATGTTAGTGGATTGTTTCCCATATCAACATGCTGGTTTTTCTTTTGTTTGTTTTTTGTTTGTTTGTTTGTTTTTCTCAACTGAAATACATGCATACTAATATATGAGAATAGAAAAGATTGCTGCAGTTATGTTTTGGGTAATGATAGAGGAATGCTGTACTGTATGGCAGTGGACTGCCTCAAGGTTGACAAATGGCCCAAGAACCCATTTGAAGAAATACAAGTCAACAAGCTGTCCCTTTGTTTTTGTAATCATTTCAACTTAATAGCACAGTCACAAAAAGCCAGTATGTACTGTATGGGAGAATAGTCTATCAGTTTTCTTGCTATTTAAGCATTCAGATACCAATGGCTTGCAAAAGTAAAAGAATAATGTAATGTCTATTTTATTCTCAGGTCAACAGCTCACAGAGGTTTTTTCTGTTACAGAAATCCATGTTTTACACCTTTTGTTTCCAACAGGAGATAAGGATTTTTTCTTTCATATGTTGATTTAATAACAGAAAATGTTAAGTTGAGTACAATTTTTAACACGGCATTGTATCTGGGCATTCAAAAGGGTAAATGATTTGCTGGTTTTAACATTTGAAATCCTTTTAAATCCATTATACCCAGACAAGGAGAGCATTGCAGACAATAACGGGCGATAAAAAGAGTTTTGATTAAAAAAAACAACCTTCTGTATTTATGATAGATATGAACATTTTTGGTGTTAAGTAGATTGTTGCATTGGAAATGAATTTAAACAGTATGGTAGGTTGAAAAAAAACTTTGTGTACATTAAGCTTTTGTATTGTCCAACTTTAAGACGCTTCATTTGATGTTGTCTTGGTCATTCCGATAGACTAGATTATGGACAGGTAATTTATCTCATTTTGTTTCTGTCTTATTCTCAACTTCTTGAGAAACATTCACCCAAATGCCCCTCCTGACAAGGCAGGATCCTCTTTTAGAATTATTTAAATGTTATGGTTTGGTTGGTATTGCGCTAACCAAAACTAAAAGATCCTGGGGGAAATATTGAAAGTTTAATTTTATTTAATTTTTGTGTTACCTTTGTGCACTTATCACTGTCTGACTCCTATTTCTCACTCTACTTGTTCCTATCTTCGCACTTATTTTTCTCTGCTCTCCTGTGTTTGTAGATATGTACACTACAAAGCAGGTCTTTTGTTCTTCATGTAGTGTGGCTACAGTCTTTATTTTCATTTTGACATGTTTGTTGTCATAAATGAAAAAGAATACCAATAATAATTCTCACGCTTTAAGACAAAAAGAAAATCCAAAGACTAAACACTTTTCACCATTGGTGCATAAATATGAGAAAAGAGGCTTCTTTATACTTGAGAATTTGTTGCTGTTTTTAGAGGAAAGAAAACAAAGTTTTAAAAGACAAAGGAGTACGCATCAGAGTTGCCGTTTCTGCTTCTTTGCAAGCAAACAGGTGGCTTTTTTACGTAAATACCAAAAACCAAAAAGGGCCCTTGTCCTTGCATTGTGGAGTAGCACCGTTACAGAGCCATTGCAGTTTGTAAGATAGAGGTTATTAATCTTTGTTTTACTTTTTTGTCACATTCAAGTGTCCATTTTTTAAAGAAAATGTATAAGGTCTGGTCTTCAAGGACATACGTTTTGCTGCTAATGTAGAATTTTGAAAGGAAAAAAAGTACCTAGATGCATGCTCATTTTGCTTTTGGCTAAGCTTTAACTAAAACCAACAATAAACCAATTTATTGCCTCTGCAACACCTTTTTTTTCTTGTTGCAAAAACGGAACTTTGAAGACTGTGAATATATGTTCCAAAGGACATTTTGCCGATTTTCTTTTTGAACAGACCAATGTTTAAAGCCAATGATCTATAATGTTTGTAAAGACAGTGCATTCCAAATATCACAATGGATTTTTCTTAAGCAAGGACTGATCCTATTTCATTTACCTGCTTTTAATTGTCACAATCTATTTTTTTCTATTTTTTTTTTTAAGTGACTGTAAACTGTTGTGTACATTTTTGCATCATTGGTTGCTGAATAACTTATGTAATTTTGTGCTGGCATGGAACATTGCTGAAAATCCCTCCATCCAGTCAAGGTTGTTGCTCATTTGTTAAGCAAGTAATAGTGGTTACCAAAAAATGTATATAATACATCTGGTACTGATGCGTCTCATAGGTTTAGAAACATTTATGCCAGTCAACATACAACTAGTCTCAGAGGGAAAAGATGGCTGCTTGGATGAGTTGACCCCTTCCTGGGAAATCCACCAGTGACTTGTCCCATGTGTCTGCAGGGTGCCACTTCCATGCATAGATTACAGGTCTTTAAGGGACATCTTCATTCCAAAGCATTATTTCTGGAAAAAGGAGGAGGTTTTTTGAAGATGTCCCTTGATTTCAAATAGCAAGGATGCTTTCATGTCCAAAGAAGTCAACCTCTAATTTTATTGCAAAGAACATAGATGTGCATAGGTACCTCCACCCTCTCGCTGATGATTCAAAGAACTAATAGTTTTATTTTTAAAACCAAAACCAAAACCCTTTTTAAATTTGTCAAACTACTTTTTGGCCACTATTTAGTCAATATATTTGCCCTAATTAATACATGGCACAATCTCAGAATAATGTTTAAAGTGCTTCGTCTTGCAGAACAAAGTGATTCGGTGTTAATACTACAGCATGCTGTTGGAACTCATGAGATTTGGTCTGCAAGCTTGTTACTTTTTAAAAGTCCAACTCCCTGAAATACTCTTCACGTGTTGTTTCTTATTTTGAAAAATCTTAAGTTGTACAGTTTTCTTAAATGTTTGCTTCTTTTAATTTTCAGACAATGTCAGACATGTATTGTTATTTTCTTAAAATTATTTGTATTTTATTTAGTTAATGTATATTACTTTTTATCATAAATTAACACTAGCTTTAATTTGAATTGCTGAAATTACGAAACAAAAAATATGACCTGGCCACTTTATGGTGTGAAAATGTTCTTTATATTCATTGTCTACCTGAAACTGTTTGCTCTCTTATTTCCAAAGTGTAATCTTTTGGGCTCTTTTGTTGAAGACAAAGTTGAAGTCTCTTCATAAGATTCAGCCAGCATGGTCTGTGTGTGTGCGTGTGTGTGTGCGCGTGTGTTTCATAAGAGCCAGCATCAATTCAATTGTTTTATTGTTTGCCTTTTATTGTTTTTATATGTTACACACCAAAACAAACTGAACCACAAAGCTGGATTATGAATAACTCAAATTTAGAAAATCCAATTTTAAAGTAAATGATCAGAAACAATACCGAAGCACTGAGCAGTTTTTACTTTGATTGATTTTATGAATGTGGCCAAAGCTTTATGCAGTTGAAACGAAAAGAAAACAAGTTACATGTTGTGCCCCAGACAAGTGTATATTTTATTGTGGCACAAATCGTATTGTGGATAATTGGATCCACTGACTTAACATTGGGATACTTGATTTTAATGGACATTTACAAAGAGAGAGATAAAGACAAGGTTTTGCTGTAGAGGTCATCTTTTGCCCACTGTGAAAACGAACGTGTACCTGTATACAGATATAGATATATTTAAAACGAGACATCAACTTTTTTTGTTTTCGAAAAGGACTGAAAAGAGAGAGAAAAAGGACTTTGGGAAGCTTTGGAGATCTTCTTAGGAGGACATGAGAGGCTGTGGGCACACCAAAACTGGGCATGGGAGCCAATGGCAGGCTCAAAACAGCTTTAAAACCACCTCCTTATTTGATAACTGACAATTCTGTAACGGAAATGGACTCTGGAACCAATGGACATGTGTGACACAGAGAGGAAAGTCCTCAGATGAACCTGAACTTTAGTGGCTCCAGCTGCCTCTTTCTCCTTTCTGTCTATCTCTTTCTTTCTCCAGCTCTGCCTCTGCTTCTGCTCTTTGATGGACATTTTCCAAATTTCAGGACAGGATGGACAGACACGCTTGCTTCATTTCTCCCAGTTCATGTTGCTACCCGTTTCATTTCCTTGTGCTTGTCTCTGGTTGACAAGTTAAGCTCTCCAGTCAAATGGCGGCTCACCCCTCTCTCTGTTGATTACATCATCTAAGAGTAAATAATAACAGAGAGAGGGGACGGGTTCTCAAAGCTGTCATTCTTAAAGAGGCAGTTACACTAAAAAAAGCGTATTAACCAAAATTAACAACCAAACTAACAACCAAACAACCATTTGCTCCAACTTCAAAGATGAACTGTTACTTGGAGCTCTTTGTTCCTTTTGTGACTTCTGGTGCCACAATGTTTTTTTATGCTTTAGTTTTTCTTTTTGTTTCCTTGAATTACTCCTCCTTGAGCCTCATAAGCATGGCTCTGTGGCTCCAGGCAGCCCATCCGAGGGTAGAAAAAAACAGCCTTGCAATGTACAAAAAAGAGCAAGTTAAACCAAAAATGTTGTTCTTGATGTCTTTTCTATACTGTAGTCTTGTTAGCTTTTTTGTTACTGTAATTATATGATGAAGATTTCCAAACTGTACCAAATTACATGGAAACTAACATACATACAACCACATGGAACTTCAGACTTTTAAAGAAACTTTTGTCACAAAACCTTGTTGTCCTAGTTAAGTTGATTGTAGATGGTAATTGAATATACTCCTTTGAAAATATTTCATCAAGTATGTTTCTTGCTCATTGTGATACATTAAAAAAGTATGAGCATAAATTGCACTGGTGTGGAGTCATCTTTGAGTGTTTTACAATTTGATCGTTTGCTGTTATCCAACTACTTATTGGCAGAACCCAGAGAAAAAAGTATGTTTTACATTTTGACCATATATATTACAGATGTATTCATATAGAACGTAGAAGACCCGTAAATGTTATCATGCTAAATGGCAACCTCCATTGCTGAAAGCCAACTGCCAAAAACTGCAGCTTGTTGGCCACTTGAGACTGGCTCCAAAAGCATGTCAATCCCCATAGACCACCATGTTAAAATCCACAATTATTAGCAGAAAAAAACATGTTTCCAGCCTGGTACATGTCGTCAAAGGTTGCTAGCTGCTAACTGTCTGCTCTGGTGCGTAAGCCTGGGCCGCCTCACCTCCACTGACGTTCCATCTCTTTGCCCATAACCATTAGCCAGGGAGTAAGCAATGGGTAGTGCAGAGGGCCTGGTCGTTTGGACAACTCCCAATTAAAACAAGTCCTGCTCTGCCTGTTAAGCAATATATTATTCTCAGCAGGCATTGAGATACAATAACAGAAGGATCTGCATCAGCATGAACTGTGAGCCCCCAGTGACATATTATGGTCAATTTGTATCAGCTTCTAAGCCATCAAGTGTTAAGCCATTCTAACAGTATTGTTGAATTTAGAATGGCTTTACACTGTTCTATTTGATATGTAAGGTGATTTTGTGAACCTTCAACCTCTGAAGATCTATCTGCCCGTATATTTAGCTTGTTAGAATGGTAAGTGCCTTGGATTGATGAATACATATTAAGCAACAACTGTGAACTTCTTTTTGATGAAAGGGTTGCAGTGTGCAACTTATGTAATAACCGGTACTGACAATGTTGCTAAGAAAAATGGAATCTGAAATGAGAATTATTGTAAGGAGTAATAATTATTAGCACCATTTCTTTTAAAATTGCATCAAAAATGTGATCTTAAAAATAACCACGCTTTTGGATGTCTTACCAAGTAAAGACGAGACCAAATGACTTTAATAGATGATATGCATTAGAATAAGCTTTTTGGCAAACTGTAATACATTCTTGTCACCTCTCTGGAGTTTTTGGAGAGTATTTCTCTCACAAACAAATATGTGAAGACAGTTAAACTGATATAATGGTCTGTTAATTTAAGGCAGCAATCATTACAGAATTGCGTCGTAATTTCTTGCATAATTTCTTGCTTTCACAGTCAATGGTTGTCTTGTTAACATATATTGTATAAAAAAAAACGTGTTATTACATTAAAGAAAACAAAATCAACTTTAAATTATCAAAATTATAACCTTTTTTGTAAGAACACACACATATAATGTAGATTAATTGACATTAACATAAATTGTTGTAATGTTTCCAATACCTAAGTTACACATTTTGTTTGATAAATGAACACATTTATCAGAAATGTGTTAAAGGCATGGCGCTTTGTAAGAAGAAATCTGAGGAGCCTCGAACCTCTGAAGAGAGTTTAAGGAAAAGGCCATCCTGTGTCATGCAACAGGCAAGATTCATTGGCCATGTTGAGCCAATTAACACGCAAGGGCACATCCCGAATGAATTAAAAACACCCTAATCCGATCAGTGTGAAAAGCAAGGCCATTTCCTTCACAGGCCTGGACCAGATGGCACTCACACTCAAATGCTGCATTGAAACAGGCCAGGCCCAGTCACACAGTGTGAAATTGGGTTAGTGCATGAGTCTAACATAGGCCCTGGGCAATGTGAGCTCCCAAACCAATTCTCCCCTAGCCTAAAGGTACAGGGCCCATCGTGCCAATCTTTGGCCCCATATTTAATTATCATTCTCAATGCACCTCACTAACTCAGTCATTTCAGTCAGAGGTGGAGCTGACAGCTTCCTAGAGTCATTTGTCTCTTTAAACCGGCCAACCTTTTACATATCGCAAATAGCCCCTTACATACCACAGAATGTTCTCTTTGGTAGCCCAGAAGACAAGCAAAGCTCTGTTGGATAGAATATCACAGACTCTGACCCAAGCTGGGTGGTGTTACCATGCTGAGGTCTAAGTTCTTGCTTTGTTGCGATAATGGCTTGATGGGGTTTCCAAAGCTCTTTAGTATCAGCTTTCAATCTTTGCAGGGAACAAATGTTGGATGATTTTCGTCATGATTTCAAAATCTTTGATTGTGCAATGTCATCTTGGTCCCTGTCTTAAACAAAGAACATAGCTCTCTAATGGATGTTCGGCTACACGTTGGTAATACCACATGAGACCATAGACGCAGAAAATGAGGAGCAGAAGCTGTTAGTCAAACCACACCATCACACATCCCAGCATCCAATTCCTCACTGCTACAGTCAGAGCACCTTGCCAAGAGAGGGGTCACCCCTGGCAATGTGTCCTGTTCCATGGTGTTCACAAATGGCCAAAAATGTGAAGCAGCAAAAACTACCATGTCAACATCATACAGTATGAGGAAGGATTTGATGAGGTATCTCCAAAGTATGTAGAGCTAAAGCCAAATGTTTTGACTAATACTAAACCTATTGAAGGCTCTGACCAGGTTGAACCTGTGTAAACTGTTCTGAACTGCATTGAAGTGACAAATTGAATTGTGTCCCCAGCAGATACTGTGGACATACTGGATACATTTTCCATTAAGCCAATGAAAACCCAAGCTAAGCTGGTCTGCTTTGCAGATGAGCAGCTTGCACTGCAACAGTCAAGTGACAGACAGTGTGGTGAAATGACATATATGACTGTGAGGAACAGGAATTTCCCCACCAAGCCTGAAAGCCATATACTGTGGCTTCTTTCAGCATCACATACCTACTTCTCCCCCTGTTTTCCACCCCCACCTACACCTCTTTGCCTGGCCACATTGTCTCTTTCAATATCAATGTCAAAGGCAAATTACGCTACAGCCTTGAGGACAGGTCAAACTAATTCAATCTAATCTGTCAGATAAAATGATGGGTGAGTGAGGATCAAAGGAATGAAAAAAGGGAGAACTCAGTTTATTTTGAAATATAGCCTTACGTTTCCTGATCAAAGTGGGCTGACACATCTTCACATCAATTTATATGTATGAAAAAAATATACATATCAGTGTTAGCCCAGACCAGTGCTGGTTAAGTGAGTGGCCTATAAACCCCTCTGCCTAGACTCCACCTCGCTAGCTTCCCACCCACGTGGGATTCATGCTGGGGTAGGTGTTGAGGGTGTCTTGGCAGGCTCTCAGCCTTGCCAAAGCATTTCCCGTCTCCTGGAACACAGGATCAGGTGTCGCCATTTTCACAGCACCTTCTGGTTCTGTTTAACAGGAAATGAGGTCCATCAGAAGGACTCTGACCAAAACTGAGCCAGAATGGGCCCTGACAGGCAGGAATATTAGCCTGTGACGGCAGTCAGTAATTGAATGATCGGCCCCCCCCCCCCCCCTCACTCGTAATGAAGAGAATATGTGCTGGGAATGTGTTTGTCCTTCCCTATCCTTCATCTGCCCTTTTCCTTTTCTCTTTCCCCCCTGTTTTTCCCCCTTAATAAATCATTTGTGGGGTAGAAATAAGGGATAATTTTACTTCACTTCAAAGTGCTTCTCATGGTGTCATTTCTGTAACCTCAAAGTGATGATGCATTAAAAAGGCTTCGGGTGAGCTCTGCTTGAGTGTTTTCAGCCTTTAAACGAAGCTGTGCTGATAGTGTCGTGAGAGAGTGAGCTGAAGTACATGAGAGATCAATTATCACACCTCATTGTGTTCTCATATGCAAAATGATAATGGTTGGACCATGTCAGACCTGAACCATCAGGTGGTGTATCCTTTCTCCATAAATGTGTTTCACAGATTGTCTGAAGGGGTCTGTTAAATCCCTTTAACAGTTAAAAAAGAAGGGAAAGAATTTGGCTTCTCCTTGATCTGTCTTCAAATGTCCCTCTGCGGACAAGATTTAAGAGTGATAAAGCAAGAGAATAAACCCAACACTCAGCTTGATATCACTACACACTTGTGAACACTACTGTAGTATTGAACGTTGGAAAAAACCAAACAAGTAAAACATTGTCCTGTAGTCTTTACTGTGTGTTTGTCAGCAAACAGTAGAACAACTGTGTAATAATGTATGATGTATTGAGTACATGTGCCACAAAGGAGGCAAGGGTTTGAGGAAGTGGGAGGCACACCTTTGAGGTGCAGCCTCATATTTCATATAGCTTTGGGGAGATTGTAAAAAAATACATCTTAATACAATAATTGCTTTAAGACTTGTTCTTATTCATATTTCTTTGACTTAGGTTTTGTATTGTATCCTTAACCAAAATCAGTTGTACTGCATTGCTGCTGGAATGCCTGTCAGACCGGGCCCTGACCCTGGGCTAGCTGCTATAATGATGGGAAGATGAAAGGGCCAGGCCCATTCCCAGGCTGCCCTGTTAGGGGGTGCAAGCCTGTGAAATGGAGAGATAATGGAGACCAGGTGTGCTGTGGATGCCTGAGACACTCCTCACTCAGTCTGAGAGCTCCTCTCAGTGAGAGGGAGGGCACACTATCATGTTGAAACAAACTGGGCCAGGGTCCAATTTCTTACTCCATACTGCACACCTATACTGAATATACTTTACAATGTATGTATATATTATACAAATAGAGTATTTACTCCAATATATATGCTTAAGTTGTTTTAGTTGCTGTAGCACACATTGGGGTTATTCTGCTTTTCCCCTCATAAAAACTACACTGTTTTCATAAATATGAGAGTAGAGGCTCAAAATAAATATTTTACTTAAATGAGGTGGACATGTTGTTTCGGTTGTATTCATAAACACCGTAATTTGTCCAATCAGAACTAATAACAAAACTTTAAGCATTTACCCCTTTTGATATGTTTCTAATTTATGGTATAGGAGTTTAAAAAGAAAGCACGGCAGACTGGCCACAAAAGTGTTATAGTGTCTAATTATAACAGACAGGCTTGCAAAGTTCTCCTGTGATTGAAATCTAATTAGCAGACAGCTAGCAGAATC